AGAGAAGAGAAGAGAAGAGAAGAGAAGAGAAGAGAAGAGAAGAGAAGAGAAGAGAAGAGAAGAGAAGAGAAAGGAATGCAGAAGTTATGTATTTCCTTGTGTTTCTGCTGCTCAGCTGGGTAAAAGCAGGGCAGGCACTGCTGCTGCTAAAGGAAAACTTCTCTAGATGTTTGTTTCTTCCTTACGTATAATCTTTAAAAGGGAAAATTCTTTTTGAGCTTTCCCTGAGTAAGGAAAACACGTTTTCACTAAATGAAGGTTGGAGGAGTGTGAAGTTGTGCAAGTAGTGCCCTACAAACTGTAAATCCTAACGGTAAATGCGCAATGATTTTTTTTCTCCCTCCATTTCTTGCTCTGGATAAGTTACAAAATAAAATAAATTCATTTTTTGCAATAAAAAAAATCCTCCCTCTCCCTTTCCCAAGCACAAGCCCTGCCGACACCTGAGCCCATCTGACTGAATGCTGCAGCCTTCTGCTGCTTTCAGATACCCCCACAGTGGTGAATAAGCCGAGACCCACTGCTTGGGTGGGTGTCTTCTTCACCACCAGCCTGTGCCATACCTTTTGTGATTTCTCTTCTGAAAGCTGCCGTCCAGAGTGAGTTCTGCACGGCTGTCAGGAGAGGGCACCAAGTCCAAGCAAACAGGGCGACTCCACGGTCTGAAGGCTTCAGGACGGTAAAAGCAAAAGTTTAAGAGGCTTCCTCAGGCTGAAGCATCTCCTGGTGGACCCACAGATCTCCACCTGCCTCTTGGCGCCCACGAGACCTCCGGTTCCCAGACCCGCAGTGTGCCAGGGGCATCCCTCAGCTCTGAGTGGGTTTTGCCTCTGCTGCGAAAGCACCTCTGGAGCTGCTGCAGCCAAAATCCCCTGGGGCACGGAGTGCCGGCAGCTGGGCTTTCATCAGGTTAATTTTCCTTCTGCTGTGTCAGGTCATTCATACCCTGGAGGGCAGGAGGGGCGAGCTGAGCAAGCTGCTGCCTCCCACCTCCTGTCACTCTGCAGGGCAGCCACAGCATTTTCTGGTCCTCTGCCTGCAAAACTGTGAGGAAGGGGAACGTGGGAGGCTGGGTGAATTCTAAATTCTCAAGTTTGCCCGGAAAATGGAGAAGCTGGAGCGTTTTCCCAGAAGTCCCACTGAAGTCTCACTGGAGAGCCCCTGGCCAGTGACTACAGGTCGGGAAATCCTTGTTGGTGTGAGTCTGGTCACTCTTAGCAGAGAGACCACCCAAGCTCGTGGCGCCTTCCCAGGGCGTGGCTTCTTTCCAAACCCACCTCCTCGCAGCCGCCTCCCTCCCGGCTCTTGGCAAAAGTGTTGCTGTGACTCGGATTCGAACCGAGGTTGCTGCGGCCACAACGCAGAGTACTGACCACTATACGATCACAGCAGAAGGTGTCAGAAGGTGTCCTGCCACACGCCGGGACCGTGGGGACGGGAGCGCCTGCTCCGACCCCTCCCCTGGCACGGACACCCAGCACAGCCTGGGGAACAAATCCACGCTCTTTTATCAAGGAGGCCACAAATGGGCTTGGATGATGCTGTTCAGAGCTCCAGCAGCATGGAATGGGGCCCTGAATTGTGCAGAACGCTGGCAATGCTGGAATGGCACCTGGAGAGCGAGGCTGCTGCGAAGGATGGCACTGTTGAGGGGGTATCATGCTGTAGGGTCACCACACTACAATGCAGCAAATTCAGGGTTTTAATAGCTTCAGCTAAATCTAAGTTGTACAAGGGGTGAGGAATTAACTAACTTTTTAGCATCCTGTGTGATACAACAAATTTGGGGGAATTCAGTTAAAAATACAACAAACAGCATGAGGATCTCCACAGGGAGCTGAGTGATGCTGTGGGAAGGATCCAGACAGGGAGGTCCAGGTAACCTGGAATGTCCCCAGGGCCCATAATTCATCATTCCCAGGACCCCACTGCCACCTCGCTGCCTGATCATGATCCCTCTCCATGTTTCCCCACAATTTTATGCCTTGAAAATTGTGCTTTGATGACTCCAGAGCTGCTTTTGCTGTTGCTGGCCCTGGATGTAGGTTGGGCTCAGTGCTGGTGGAGAAGAAAGGACTCGGTGGGGGTGAGAGCTCCCTGCTCCACATGCTGGGCAGCCCACAGCCCTCTGGGTACCATCCCACTGCCACCTCCTCCCCAGCCCTCCATGCACCACGGGATTTGCAGCAGGGGATCCCCAGTGCCCCCATGGACCCCAGGGCCCCAGTGTGCCCACTGGCTCCCTCACCCATCTCCATGGTGAGTCCCAGAGAGACTGTGGGCACCTCTGCTCATCATGGAGCCTCCAGTGCCACGTATGACCCATGGAAGCCACCCAGAAGACAGGTAGAAACAGGATTTAACAGGAAGACAGAATAGGGTTTCCATCCCTGAGAGGGCTCAGGACTGCACTTACAGACTTCCTGCTTGCTGGTCTTCATGCATGTTTTAAACTACCTTGATCTCTGCTGGAGGAACAACACAGCAGGGCATGAGCAAGCCAGGAGGATCCTGGTGGGTTTGGGTGACAGCTTCCTGACCTGTGTGGCAGAGGAGCTAAGGAGGAGCAGTGCTCTGCTCCAACTTTGAAGAAGTGCTCACTGGGAGGAGTAGCTGAGTCATCGGAATGTGGAGTCATTCCAAGGGAGAGCTGTGGGACGAGCCCAAAGACAAAGCCCTACCAGGATGGTAGCCAGATCCCCAGTTAAAGGAGAACAAATATTCAGGCCAACCCAGCTCAGTGACATGCAGAATAACTCTGAGAAGTTCTCTCAAAGCATTACTGAGGACTCTCACAGTGATAGTTATTAGAAGACCAAGAGGGAGAAGGCTCAGACAGTTCTACTTATTGTTTACAGACACTAATTTATTAAGGCACAGGCACAACACTGTGTGGCAGCAAAGGTCCCCACAGTGAGAATCCTGAACCAGCATCTCACCATGGCAAGATCTTCCCTTCCCAGTCCAGAAAGGTCCCGGTCTCCTTCTCAGAGAGGGAGGAAAGCACCTTCAACATCCCTTGCACGCTGGCATCAACTGTCAGGGGGGGCTGTGGGGAAGAGGGAGAAACATTTGTATGCCCCAGGTCAGGACAGGGTCTGCCTTGGAGCAGATCAATGCTCAGGGATTGGGGTTCTCTGGCATGAGAGAGGAGAGGCCAGCACCCAGCAAGAAGAGGTCCTAGTCCCTCATCTCCTCCTCTCAATTCTTTCCAGGGTATCTGCCCAGGAGCTCCCACAGAGCTCAGCATGCCTGGGACTGTTCAGTCCCCAGGAAGCTCTGCATTCCTAAATGAAGAGGTTCTTCCAGACCATGGCCAGAAATATCTCTTACCTTAAATGATTCTGAGCTCCCCCCCATTTCAGTTTGCACCCAGCCAGGGTGGAGAGTGACACAGAGGATGCCGTGCTCCCGGTATGCCAGGGACTGGCACTTGGTCAGCATGTTCAGAGCAGCCTGTGGGGAGACAGGGCAGGGATGGTGGTGGGAGGGGAAGGGGGCTGCAAGGGGAATGTGTGCAGATCTCACAGCTGGGGCAGGGATAGGGCAGTTGGAGCCAGCTCCTGGGGTACATGATGCTGCCTAGTCGAGGTCCTATCCCATCATGTCCCTCTGGGGCAGGACCCGAGGCCAGGCACATGACTGGGCTGTCAGAGTACCCAGAGACTGGGCACATGGACTGAGGAGGAAGTTGGAAGGCATGCACCATCATTTGGAGGGGAAAAGGTCTGGGTTCCCCCCAGCACACTCTGGCAGTACCTTGCTGCAGCGGTACGAGACAACTTGTCCAAATTCCCATACATAGACATCTTCAATGGAGCCTGCATAGCTGGACATGTTGACGATGGCTGCCTTGCTGCAGCTCATCCCTGAGCCCGGGCTCCCCTGGGCAGCCTTCTTCAGCAAGGGCAGGAATGCCTGCGAGGAGGAAGAGGAGACAGGGGAGAAATATGGATGTGGCCCAGGGGAGAGGACCAGCTCCTTCCACAGTGGGCAG